TGGGCACCTCTATATGATAGGTCTTGGGAGCCATGGGAGCAGTTCAGTTCATTTGAAAGGAGCTGTTTGAGAAAGTTCAGTTCGTTCAAAAGAGCTGTTCAAACAGTTCAGTTCATCCGAAAGGAACTGTTGAAAAAGTTCAGGTCAATGAACGGAACTGTCTCAACAGTTCTTTAGTTCATTTAAACGGAGTTCGTGAACTTGAGCTGGTCGACTCCTATTACAGACATCGTTAATCAAGTAATTGTTGTCGATGAAGTCTAATAAGTAATTAAAAAAAGAATTTACATCTGCTGATACTTTCCAACAACGTGTGCAAGAACTATAAATACACAACTGATAAGCAAGGAGTCGTTTGTTTGTCAATTGAATCACGCCATTTACCTTAGAAGGTTTTTTTATTCTACATAAATATTGACGGATAAAATTACCATGTATGTCTGTAACAATAAAACATAACCGTAACTGGTTACTGATTCGAATACGCGAGTAGGTTTCTTATTGATAAGAACGTGAAATCTGTTGAGTAATTCGTATTTTTCTTCCTCATCGATTATTCATTCGGTTTGAAGATTATCTTTTTTTCTTAATAGAGAACTTTTCGTTCGTATATAAATAGATTATATCAGTGTATACAATTATCTTCCAATCAATGTCTCGAAGAACAGAGGATGATGAGGAGATTAATGAATACCATTCAGAAGAACGAAAACAATTTCAAGAACAACTTCAAGAGCTTGAAAAAGAAATGAATGCTTACAAACAGCAAAGAGATCGTGCTAATGAAGAAATTCGTAAAGCTCAAATAGAGATTGAAAAATTAGAAGAACAAGAGAAAAATTGTACGAAACGTCTTCAAGAATTAGATGAACAAATCCAACATCTCAATGAAGAAATTGCTCGACTTGAAGCTCAACTCAATGAGTTACGTGCCGAAAAAGAACGTATAGAAGACGAAAGGAATCGACAACAATAGCTATTAGATCAACAAGAAGACGTTCTCGGAAAACAAATCGAAGAACTTCAAGACCTTCAAGAGAAGATTCGTGAATATAAAGAACAATTAGAAAATCTTGCTGAAGAACAAGAGAAATTACAAAGAGCTAAACAAGAACTTGAAGCACGAATAAATGAGCTCAATCGTCAAATTCAACATTTAGAACAAGAAATCAAAGAAACACAAGCAAAAATTCAACAATTACAACACGAAATCGATCGACTTCAACAAGAAATTGAACGAACTGAAGAAGACTTACAGAAAACCCTTCGCCATATTCAAAGAGTTGAACAAGAAATTCGTCAAACACGAGAGAAATTCTCTCAACTTGAACGGCAGCAAGAAACACTTAAAATCGAAATTGATCGAATTGAAGATTTAATCATACGCATTGAAAATGTCATTGAAATGAAACGAAACCAAAAGGAAGAATTCGAAGCACTTAAACAACAACTTCAAACTGAAATTAATGAGCTTAAACAGCGCCACGCACAAATCCAAGCGAAAGTTCAACATTTACAACAAGAAGTCCAAACAGAAAAAGCGTCGCTTCAATCATTAATCGACCAAGCCGCACAAATGAAAACCGAAATGGCTGCTCTGCAAAAAGAACAACATGCACTCACCTTGGCTGCTCAACTACTCAAGTAAGATTCAAAACTGAAACTTCTAAAAAAATCATTTTGTTAATTTAGACAAAACTTGGAAGCCAAACAACATCATTTAACCCAATCGAAACAACAGGAAGCAAGTCTTGATCAAAATTTGAAAGAAAAAGAACAAGTGATAAACCAACTTGAACAGGACAAAACGAAGATGGAGGAGAAATTAAAACAAGATACCAATGAATTAAATCGAACTCAACAAGAATTGCAAAAAAGTGAGGTTGAACAAAATCAATGTCGAGCAACATTAAATCAAGAAAAGAATAATTTACAATCCCGACAAGCAACTCTAGCTAATGAACAGAAAAAACAAACCCAAGCGGAAAATAATCTTCGACAACAAGAACAAACCACAAAGAAAGCGGAGCAACAAGTGCAAGATTGTGAAAAAGCGGCACAAGATGCGGAAAAGGCTGTTAATCAAGCACAGCAAACGGTAGAAGAAACTCAAAGGGATCTACAACAGGCGGAAGAACAATTACAAATCGCAGAAATCGCACTGGACACACTTCTTGCATTTATGTCAGCCAATCCATTAGTTAAAGTCGTTGGCTTAGCAGCAGCGAAAGGTCTAGTAAGTTTATGGAAGGGTAAACTAAATACAAAAAGAAGTCAACTTCAACAAAATCAACAATATCATCAAAAGAAAGTTCAAGAACATACCAATGCTAAACAAAAACTAGCTCAAGCACGACAAACACTTGAACAAGAAAAATCCAATCTTACAAAACGACAGCAAGAACTCACGCAACAAAAACAACAAGTCCAAACTGCTTCAACTAGACTTAATGAACAGAAAAATCTTGTTATCAATCTCACCAGTAAATATAATCAAGTTCAAAATCAAACACAAAAATTGAAAACTCAACTTAATAATCAATCCAAACAAGTCCAACAACAGCAGGCGAATATCAGTACTCAAAATACTCGCTTAACTACTCTAAAGAATCAATTAAATCAAGTTCGAAATCAAAAAGGTCAAGTCGTTCAACGATCTGCTGAACTCTTCAATGAAGTCGGACAACTAAATCAACAATATCAAGTACAAACACAAAATCTAAATAACCATAATCAAAAACTTCAAGCCAATCAACAGAAACAAAATACCTTGACATCACAAATCGAACAAAAACAAAAAACAATTCAAAATCTTGAACAACAAACTGCAGCCAAAGCGAATGAAGAAGCGACATTACGAGGTAAAATAACCAATGCGGAAGAAAATATTCGAATTTTAAATAAATCTGTGTCCGAACTTGAAAATGATAAACGTATTCAACAAAAATTATTGAAAGATACTCAACAACAAATGAGTAGATTAGAAAATGAATCCAGTCGACTTGATAATGATATTAAAAAACTGATTCAAGATTCTGAAAGACTTGAAAATGATCAGGAACGATTAGAAAGAGAATTAAAAAACCATCAAAAACAAATTCTAGACAGAAATAAACAACAACAAAATCTCAAATTCGAATTACAACAAAAACAAGACAATCTATCTCATCTAAAGCATGAAAAAAACAATATGGAGCAACAAAAGGATCAATTAACCGCTGCTCTTGAAAGAAATAAATTCGAACAAAGAAATATCATAAGAAAAGTCACTGAATTGGATCAAGAAGTGACCAACCGTGAACGAGCTAGACAAATTACCGAACAAAAAGTGAATGATACTCGTAATGAATTAAGAAATATCATCCGAGAACTTGATCGATTAAACAAACGTGAAACTGATCTTAAAAACCAATCGAATACTCTTCGGGATAAGCAAGATACTCTAACACGAGAACATGATTCCATCGATGACAAGAAAAGTAATATTGATCGAAATTTATCCCTTGCTAGAAATAAACAAAGAGATAATGAAAAGGAAGTTACAAGTTTCAGTGGAAAAATGGCGAGCAAAGAGAATTTAGTGCGAACACTTCGAAGAGCAGTCGTTATAAATAAAAATCGTAAGCAAAAAACAAGCGATGTCATAACGAATCCCGACGACAACACCGATGATGAGGAAAACTTTGATAGAAGACGTGATAAACAACATCTCGTATGTACAGTCTCTTATCACAAATTCTTGAAAAAATCTCTTCTATCTTTTTTAGTACAACAGCTAACTTATCAGACATCACTTCACTTGACATTTTTTTCTAAATCTAATAATCAATAAATTTTCTTCTATTTATTCTAGATTAATCATGACGAAAAAAATGTCAATCTATGATTATCTAGCCACTGCTGATACAAATAACGATGGCGGAATGATCGATTTCGATGATGACAATATCGAAAATATTCGTGATGAATATGCGCTGATGACAGACGAAGAAAAACCTACTAATGCTTTGTTGAAACAACTGGCGCAAAAATTAAAGATTAACGACGATGAAAAGAATCTCGAACTTCTTCGTTTATGTATTGTTGAAGAAACTATAGAAGGTGCAAAGGCTGAAATTCGTCAACGCTATTATCAGGAAGAAGATAGGCACGCATCATCGAAAAAAAATTCTTCGACATCGACCAAGGAAAATCCTACTCCTGCTACTAGTAGATTAGTATCTATTGATGAAATCAATTGTCTCATACAGATGAAAATCAATCATGAGGAACTGACGAAATTTTTTCAAAATTTTCTTCTTCTTTCACTTGATCAATCAGTTTCATCGAAGACTAGATCGACAATAAACTTAGAAAAAAATATTACTCATCCATTAAATCCTGGATGTATTCTTGATCTATTCATTCGCAAACAAATGACTCAACGAGGAGTGGTTGATTTCGGACGGGAACGTCCAAAATTTCGTCTAGTAGAACCGATTACTCTCAACGATGAATTTGATACCTGGCATTTCGATCATTTTCATTCCTTATTCGATCTCTATCTCACTCGTCCCAACAATGAATCATTTCCGATCCGTTGGGAATTAATTGAACAATCGAAAATCACCTATCAAATTATTTCCTTTTATTCAACCAACGATCGTGATCAAAAACCGATTCAAAAACCGAGTACCAAATCTTTGGAAAAATTCATTGAAGATATCTGTCAAATTGAAGATAATGGCATGGCATCGAATTGGATTGAATTATTACGCAAAGAAGATATCACAACTTATGCTCACTTGACTAATTTAAATCAAAAAGAATGGGATAATATAAAAAAATTGAGTATGAATGCTTTGAAAACAATCAAAACTTATGTTGATCGAGAAAAACAAACCGCTGAAGATCAAACTAAAACCAATAAACGAAAAAGTAATTTTCCTTCTTCCATTTCTCCTTTATAGAGAATAATATTTCTAGATGAATCCGAATCGGAATTCCTGGCGAAAATTCATATGATCAAACTATATTTCAGCCATGCATTAAAAAACGAAGAAGGAATCGTTCGATTATCGAAACTAGATGCTCGATGTGTAACCACAGCTTTCGAAGAAATGCGTCGAGATTATGAAGATGATGGTTTATTCGATGAAATGATCCAATTTTTTCTACCATTAACTGTAACTGATCATGAATTAGTCTTAGATGCCAATGAAATTCATCTTAATATCGAAGACAAACGTCGAACTCAAAATCAATATGAAAGGGAAATTCAAACTCTAATCCGAGAAAATGAAAGAATTGTTGAAGATATTGAAAGACGAAAGACGATTCTTGCTCAAATCAAACAAGAACGACAGAGACTGTTTGAAGAACTAGAAAGCAATCTGAAAGAAATCAAAACGACAAGACTAACTAGTTATGCGAAAGAAAAGAATGAATTAGAAAAAAAATGGTCAAGAAATGATACTATTCAAAGTGATCGAAGTAAAGAAATCAAAAAGAAAATTGAACAAATGGAAATTAATCACAAAGCAAATGAAACATTAATTAAAGACAAAAGAAACTTATTGAATACAATTATCGATGATTTGAATAATCAACAGACACATATTGATAATAAACTGGTCAAACCACATCGAGGATTTATTATGTATGGACCACCGGGTAACGATATTTGGTCGTGATTTTCATTCTCTTCGCATTTTGAATTCTTTTAGGAACTGGAAAGTCACATATCATGAGTCAATTAGCGAAAAAAATTGGTATCGCTATGTTAGGACCACCATTAGCAGCCGGAGAATTAGAACGACCATTGGTGGGTCAATCCGAAGCGGTGATTTTAGATTTATGTTCTCGAGGGAATCGTTTGCCTTATCTAATGTGCTGTGTTTCTATCGATGAAATCGATTCACTTGCACCACGTCGTGATGAAGATTCTTCTGAAGGCAAAGTTGCCAAAATCAGTGTTCTATTATCGGTCCTTGAAGGGATCAAAGATGTTCCAAATCTGATGTTTTTCTCGGCAACCAATCGGCTTCATATGATGGATGAAGCTTTTCTCCGAAGAATGTCAGGGAAATTTTTCGTCGGAAGACCTTCCTCTGAAGCACGCAAACGTATTCTCAATGCTATACCAAGAAATATGCTCGATCCATCCTTACGAGAAAAACTAGCTTCAGCGACGACTAATTTCAGCGGAGCGGCACTCAGGTATGATTGCGAATCGTTGGATTGACTGAGCAGAGTTCTATTGCGATTTTAGTGCGTTAAATCGATCGATTGCTGTCCATTTCATTGCTCAACGTCGAGTGAATAAGAATTATAAAATCGAATATGAGGAAGCTCTTCTTCAAGCAGATCGTACCGCTCGGCAATATCAAATCTTTCTTGGTTTAGATACACTTCCTCGTTTACTCAAACGAAATTATGACGGTGCGAAACGATCAGGTACTTCTCAAAACTCGAATGATATATTTCATTTGAAAGATAACTGCCATTTTACTGGGAAAATCATCATCAGTCTTTCCAATCGATCGGCTCGAATTGAATATATTGATCCGAAGAGAAATAACAAAAAAGTCTATGAAGATAATTTAAATCATAACGAAGAAAATGTTCAGCAATTATTAGAACGTATCACCAATTATGGTAATGATCGAAATGTTCAATTATTACAGTTAATTGATCTGAATTTATTATCATCGAAAGGTGCTTATGATGAAAAGAAAATTTTCGAAACATTAAAAGAACGTTATGATGAATGTATGGAATATAAACGGTCGATGATTATTTATGATCTGGATTCTTTAATTGGTGTTAATCAGTCCGAATCACAATCATCAATGGGTACATCAACGAGTTCCTCAGTTGTTCATCAAGCGCTGTATATTTATGTCACTTCACGATTTCGAGATGCTGTCATTGAAACCAATAACAAATCCAATGTGGAAAAATGGTCGATTGCGGTAGTACGAGATCCATTTCTATTAAAAAAGTTTTCCCAAGATGTAGAATTTCCTAAAACTGATCGAGAAGAAGAAGAATATAAAGAAGAACAACGAAAAGAAAAGGAACTGATTAAATGCATCAAATGCCGGGATTTTTTCATTGAAAATGAGAATAAAATGGGAAATTGTACTTATCATGATGGCTTTGTTTATGATAATTTATCATTAGAATTAACGAAATATACTCCATCGATGGCTTCGGAAATTTTAAATCTAGATGAATTCGAAATGATTCATTATCCACAGAGAAAAGATGAAATCGATCGACGAAAAGGACGATTTAAATATATTTGTTGTGATTCCACGGTCCAATCAACAATTGGATCATCGGCTGGTGGTTGTAAGAAAGGTAAACATGCAATGGGAGTATCATCGAATAAACAAAAACGAAGTCGAATGCTGACGAAAGATGCTATTGATCAATGGGAAAATGTTTGCATGGAAAATGATGAATATAATGAACGATGGAGTCAATTATTTACGAATCGTTCAAAAGGTGGTTTCAAATAAATTTATTCGATCGAATTGACATATGGAATTTCGCTTCTTTACAAATTTTCCGATTTTGTTATTTTGTCGACAGAAAGAAAAGTGGGAGTTGGGCTGACATCTATTGTCTGACAGCTGTTTAGCAGTCACTACAAAGGAATAGAAAAATTGACACTTTCCAGCCGTCATCGTGCATAAAGTCATGGTTTTCCACCGATAGTCATGCTTAAGGCCCCTCCCCCTCAAAATTCGATCTCAGCTCCAGAACATCGAGATAGCATGAAACTTTGAGGATATGTTGGGGGTGTAAAAGTACGTCTGTGATCAAATTAGCAGCCTCCTATCCTGATGTATATGGTAGATACGAACCAAACAAGGGTCGAAAAATAGCTTATCGCAGCCCCCAATATCTCTATGGATGTTCATTCAATTTGGTTCATTGTTTTTTCATTTGAAAGACCATGTCAGGATGCAGTGCCTCTGAGGGCCCTTTTTTTTATTCTTATTTTTAATAACAAAAGAAGGCTTCACAAATTCAATCATTCAAAAAGCCCTAAAAAAATCATGCTTATTCCCTCGATTGAAGGGAGGGTGATACGGACAAAATTTAAGAGCGTTTCTGGTGGGCGGAGTTTGTGCCGGGTCAAAAACACATCAAGGTCAAAAAAACAGCCATGACCAATTTTTGATAGATCTTTACAAGGTAATTGAGGTCGGAGAATCTGAATCTGAGGTTAGTTTTAACTAACTATTAACTAATTATTAATTATTAATATTTTTTTAAAACTTGACCAAAAGGTGTTGGGGGCTGGGAACCCGAATCTGATGTTAATTTTGATTTTTTTATTAATTAATTATTAACTGATTATTAACCCTTTCACCGCGATTTGGTTTTTCGAAGAAAATAACTTCAATATATCAATTTTCACGCATGCTCACGTTCGATAAATGTATTCACTGATATTTTCAATGTATGAGAAGTATCCCTATTCGTCACTAGGATTTTTCCAAGAAAATTCACCTTGTTGGCTTTTTCCCATCCTCTTTTCTTCTATGATACATGGGAGTTTTTCGATTTGCCCATACATGCATATATAAATACATACATCATTCTAGTCGAGATAATGAAAATAAACTAAACTCACATTTTTCAAAATTTGCAATTTACATGCTGTTCGAAGAAATGGATATAGAGGAAAGTGGTGACTCACAAAGTGGCATTTGAGATGATATTTGGAGTGTCACTAGTGAATGCTTATTTGATTTACAAAGAATATTATGACACAAGCGGTATGACGATGCTACAGTTTCGTGAAAGTCTTGTGCGATCTTTACTTCTTGGTGTGCCATTCGAGAATCTAAAACGCGTCTCAGAGAACGTTCAACAAGCCAAACGAAGCGCAAGCTGACAGATCACAAGCTCGAAGGAATGGAGGGATCTGCCCGCGATGTCCGAAGACGCTATGTCGGTTGCTATGAGATGATTCGACAGCAACGATCAACAGAAGCAAGTGCAGCGTCAGCAAAGAAAATAAAAATCTTCTGTCCTGATTGTGACAAATTTTTTTCTGTCGATTGTTTTAATGAAAAGCATCTTGCTATGAAATAAAAGATTCAAAAATTACAAAAGGCAGAAAACATGACACATTATATGTAGCTCCTGCCTAAAAAGGGTTAAGTGCCTGTTACGATCTCCTCCTTTATTTTCTTGACGATCCTTGCATCAAAACAAAAAAACAATCGAATGAATCCAAAAAAACAAAAAAAAAAAGAAGCAAAGAATGTTGTTCTCTCTTTCTCTCTCTTCATCCATGATATAGGGTGTGGGTGGGTGTGGGTGTGGGTTTGGGTGTGGGTGGATGTGCGTGTGGGTGTGTGTGGGTGTGGGTGTGGGTGTGGGTGTGGGTGTGTGGGGGGGGGGGGGATGGGCGTAAGTGAAGATAATACTCACACTGACACCCACACCACCCAAACCCACACCCACACCCACACCACCCACACCCCACACCCACACCCACACCCTCCGGAATAATCTGAATATATGCGCAACCGAATGTTGCTCGTATACGAGTAATGCATCCAATCAAATTTCCTTCACTTACAGCATGAGTGGGTGGGTGTATTCGCTCCATCAACTCCATACCCACACCCAACATCAATTGAGGTAAATGATTGTATTCACTGGGATTAAAGGTGGGTTTCTCGAGATCGAACGATAATATCTGTCGAGAATCGACAGAATCGAGCGTAGACGTGAATGTCGTCATGGCAAAGTCTTTGAAGCCGAGTCGTTCCACTCGGCGAATGTGATTCCCAATCTATATATGTCGAAGCATGTTTCCACACTTCGTGGTCGACACCTCGTATTCCGCAGAGAACTAGTCGTAAATCGATTCCATTAAAGCACAACAATGATATGGAAATGCCTCATAAGGAGAGTTCGACAGAAGACGAACCGCCAAGTTCTCCTGTCCGAAACACAGTCACCAGAGTCACAGCGGTGCCCAATATTGGCGCATAGCCTGATGATGATTAATCGCTATTCGGACGCTGCATTCAACTGAACTCTGTCTCACATGACATGGCCTGTACTTGAATGTGATTCTTAGAGGATTTGTTCAACATCTTCAGCGTGACATCAACAAATCTTTTCTAAATTTTTGATTCGTCTGCAGAGTTCGAACGGTATTCTGTACACCCTCTTCTTATCATTCTTAGGCAAGGATGCATCGCGGCTCTTGCAATGCCTGAATTATTCACACCGAAAGAACTATTTGATTGAAGCACATGCCTTCTCTTTGCTTTTTTTCGCGGAAAGTGGACGTCTCTGTTTTGGACAAGGGGCACTTGAGTAGTTTGCTTTTATTTGCGCAGAAAGAATTCGATAAGAAAATGGAGAATGACGCGCGTTGTTGACTGTCAGCAGTCGATTTTTTCCAACTTCCAAGTAAAACAGCAGAAAGTCAATAATTAGGTGAAGTAACGCGGAATCAGCAAATGTTGACAACCATGAAAATCCCCTAGAGAAGTATGGTTCTGTATTTTCTGAAAGAAGTCTAATTCACATTGTGCAAAACACAGACAAAACACTTTTCATATGGAAACAATGCAAGTTTTCTGTCACTCTTTCTTGAGAATAACTCCATTTTTTTCTATATGATCGAGCTCGACAACTAGTTTTCAAGCGCATTTCCTAAAAAAAAAGATTTTTCACAGCGATTTCGAACGCTAAAACGAGACAACACTCGTCAAGAAATTTTCAACGTCGCTATCAATGTTGAGGAACATAGCGTGTGGGTGCAGCGTACGCGTGTGACTGTAATCTTCTTACGAACATTAACTACACCCACACACTCACACTCGTTCTTCTTCTTTAAACTAACGCAATCGAGAAGAAAAATTGTCTCTGATTTAGCTTGGAGATGGGCAAAGAAAAAAATGTCTACAATTATTCAATTTTCACCCATCCTCTGCTTAAGTTTTCGACAAGAGAGGAACTGGAAGTTTTTTTCTTCTTCATATCAATAACGATAACCTTTTGTTTGCGAATAGGAGGAAATGGACGAACAAATTCGATCCACCGTCTCGAGATAAACAAAGAGGATGTGATTTTAATTGAATTTGTTGCATTATCTATGTAATTTCAAGTCAAAGAATTGTGTTGATATTTTAAATCTTCTATACCAAAACATAAAACTCGACATACTTTTTGCTATTTTACTCTATCGATCCAGTCAACTATCATGTGTGTCCGGTTATTGAGTGGTCTAATTCTAGTAAGAACTTCTCTTTATTGCATTTATGAGGTTCTACCATCCAATTATCAACAAAGTTCAAATGAAAAAAGAGAGAATGTTAACTATTCTAGTATTGAACTTTTTCAATTTATTTAGTCAAAGTTACACACTATTAACTAGTAAGATTTGTAAGATGGTAGCCAGCCCTTTGTATACTCATTAGATTTATTCACTTTTAGATGTCAAATAGTAATGAACAGGTTATGCCATTAAGTTTTATTTTATCTGATACTCGTATAGGTAATTGTTAGCGTTAGTGATGGATCACACTAACGCTAAACGATGATTAATATGGGCCTTCTAGTCTAACTGGCTTAGGACAACTGCCCGGATAGCAGGAGGTGTGGGTTCGATCCCCACGAAGGTCATATTTTTCTTCGTTCTGTCACATAACATCAGTGACACTGCTTGTCCATTCGTTCTATACATATTAGAGCTAACAGTAATGACATTGAAAACTATTTACATGTTAATTTGGATAATAATACTAAAAAAATAAATCGAGTGGGTCCTTATCGTACTATAACATAACATGTGGTTAGTAGTTACGATGGATATAATGAAGTTGTTCAGTTATTATTAACAAATAAAGCATTAAAATCACTTATCGATATTTCATATCGATAAACATTCTATGATGAATCAAGAATGGACGAAATATAAAAAGTATTAATAAAAAATTCGAACTTATTTTATTCACATGAAGAAGTTCAAGATTATGATTATATTGAATGGTCATTTATTGGGAATAGTTTAATACAAAAACGTGAAGAATTTCATGAACAAATTGATTTCTATAAAAGTTATGATAATCAACATCATTTAATAACAAAATTATTAATTGATATAATCGAACAAGAGACACCAGAATAAAACGCTCGTCAGTAGCTACAAGAAAAAATCATCAGCCACTTGATTACGAACATATATCTGCTGTGATCGATTAAATTTTGTAAATCCATTAATATCGATTCATCATTTTTTTAGTCGATTAAAATGATTTGTAAAAAATTGAAAAATAAATCAGAGAAAACTGATTTTGATCGAACGAATAATAATCTAATTTTTGTCAAAAGTTTTTACATGAATAGTAGTGACATTCGACACGGTTACTATTCGAAACAATGGACACTCTCTCACTCGCTATCAAGATAGAAGAAGAATACTCCGCCTATTCAGGTACCTTGCAGGATAGGGTGCTACCTGGAGACAGTTTCATTAGTCCGATAGATTTTCCTACCGCTACTAATAGCTATAGCTCTGGACAGAAGACCGACCTGACTCAGTTCTTCCAGTCAATTACTTGAGATCCCCATTCACACTGGCTAATCACATACTAACCGCAAGGATCGTTGGTGAAGGTCACAACGTAGTCAGTGTGCTATCGTACGGGTAATCTGCGACAAACAGCCTTTAATGC